AAGAATAGAAATTATTCCATGCGTCTTCTTGGACCATCATGGAATAAAAGTTGAACTCAGTAACAACAGGAAACTGCAGATGCATACAAAAACACAGAAGCTAAATAACCTTGTGCTAAATGATAGGCAGGTCAGAGATGAAATCAAGATGGAAATTTCCAAATTTTTAGAACAAACAATAATGAAGATATGAGTTACCAGAACCACTGGGATACTGCAAAAGCAGTCCTAAGAGGGAAATTTATAGCACTGCAAGCCTTCCTCAAGAAAATGGAAAGAGAGGAATTTAACAACTTAATGGGACATCTTAAGCAAATGGGACATCTTAAGCAACTGGAAAAGGAAGAACACTCCAATCTGAAACCCAGCACAAGAAAATAAATAACCAAAATTAGAGAAGAATTAAATGAAATCGAAAACAGAAGAATTATACAACAGATCAATAAATCCAAAAGTTGGTTTTTTGAAAAGGTCAATAAGATAGATAAACCTTTGGCCAACCTAACCAAGAAAAAAAAGAGTAAAATCGCTAATCTCATCAATAAGAAACAGTAAAGATGAAATAACAGACCCCTTAGAAATTCAAACAATCCTTAATGAATATTACAAGAAACTTTATTCCCAGAAATATGAAAATCTGAAGGAAATCGACCAATATTTGAAAGCATGCCACCTCCCAAGACTTAGCTAGAAGGAAGTGGTAATGTTGAACAGGCCTATATCAAGTTCTTAAATAGCATCAACTATACAAAATCTCTCTAAAAAGAAAAGCCTGGGACCAGATGGCTTCATGTCAGAATTCTACCAAACCTTCAAAGAGGAACTACTGCCTCTATCATTCAACCTTTTCCAAAATATAGAAAAAGTCAGAATACTACCCAACACATTCTATGAAGCAAACATCACCTTGATCCCCAAACCAGGAAAAGACCCAACAAAGATAGAAAATTACAGACCAATATCACTAACGAATATTGATGTGAAAATATTCAACAAGATCCTAACAAACAGAATCCAGCCACACATCAAACAAATTATACACCACGACCAAGTGGGTTTTATCCCTGGATCTCAAGGCTGGTTCAACATATGTAAATATATAAACGTAATTCATCACATAAATAAATTAAAAAATAAAAACCATATGATTCTCTCAATTGATGCAGAAAAAGCTTTTGATAATATCCAGCATCCCTTCATGATCAGAATACTTAAGAAAACTGGTAAAGAAGGGACATTTCTTAAACTGATAGAGGCCATCTATAGCAAACCCACAGCAATATTGTATTGAATGGAGTCAAATTGAAATCATTTCCACTGAGATCAGGAACCAGGGAAGGTTGCCCATTGTCTCTGTTGCTCTTTAACATTGTAATGGAAGTTTTAGCCATCACAATTAGGGAAGAAAAGGCGATTAAGGGCATAAATATAGGGTCAAAAGAGATTAAACTTTCACTTTTCACAGATGATATGATTGTATATCTGGAAAACACCAGGATTTCAACTACAAAACTCTTAGGAGTGATCAAGGAATACAGCAGTGTCTCAGGCTACAAAATCAACACTCATAAATTCGTAGCCTTTATATATACCAATAGCAGCCAAGCTGAAAAAAGTCAAGGACTCTATTCCATTCACAGTAGTGCCAAAGAAGATGAAATGTCTGGGAGTCTACCTAACAAAAGATGTGAAAGATCTCTATAAAGAGAACTATGAATCTTTAAGAAAAGAAATAGCTGAAAACGTTAACAAATGGAAAAACATACCATGCTTATGACTGGGAAGAATCAACATTGTTAAAATGTCAATACTACCCAATGTAATATATAATTTTAATGCAATCCCTATTAAAGCTTCACTGTCATACTTTAAAGATTTTGAAAAAGTAATACTTCATTTTATATGGAATCAGAAAAAACCTTGAATAGCCAAGACATTACTCAGAAATAAAAACAAAGCAGGAGGAATCATGCTATCAGACCTCAGATTATACTATAAATCGATAGTGATTAAAACAGCAAGGTACTGGCACAAAAACAGAGAGGTAGATGTATGGAACAGAATAGAGAACCAAGAGATGAACCCAGCTACTTACTATTATCTGATCTTTGACAAGCCAATTAAAAATATTGAGTGGGTAAAAGATTCCCTATTTAACAAATGGTGCTGGGAGAACTGGCTGGCAACAGTAGAAAACTGAAACTGGACACACACCTTTCACCACTAACTAAGGTAAACTCTCACTGGATTAAAGATTTAAGCTTAAGACATGAAACCATAAAAATACTAAAAGAAAGTATAGACAAAACACTTAAAGAAATCAGCCTGGGTGAATATTTTATGAGAAGGATCTCCCAGGCAATTGAAGCAGCATCAAAAATACACTACTGGGACATGATCAAACTAAAAATCTTCTGTAGAGCCAAGAACACAGTCAGTAAAGCAAGCAGACAGCCCTCAGAGTGGGAGAAGATCTTTGCAGGTTATGTCTCTGACAGAGGTTTAATAACCAGAATCCACAGAGAACTCAAGCGTATTAGCAAGAAAAGAACAAGTGATCCCATCTCAGGGTGGGAAAAGGACTTGAAGAGAAGTTTCTCTGAAGAAGACAGGTCCATGGCCTACAGACATGAAAAAATGCTCATCATCCTTAATCATCAGAGAAATGCAAATCAAAACTACTTTGAGCTATCATCTAACTCCAGTAAGATTAGCCCACATCACAAAATCCCCAAACCAGAGAAGTTGGCATGGATGTGGAGAAAAGGGAACACTTCTACACTGCTGGTGGGAATGCAAACTAATACGTTCCTTTTGGAAAAATGTCTGGAGAACACTTAGAGAACTAAAAATAGACCTGCCATTTGTTCCTGCAATTCCTTTATTAGGTATATATCCAGAAGACCAAAAACCACATTACGACAAAGATATTTGTATCAGAATGTTTACTGCAGCCCAATTCATAATAGCCAGGTTATGGAAGAAGCCCAAGTGCCCATCAATCCACGAATGGATCAATAAATTGTGGTATATGTATACCATGGAATTCTATGCAGCCATAAAGAAAGATGGAGACTTTAT